AGAACCTAAAATTTATTTCATTCATTAATTTATTTTATAAGAAAACATTTTACCGGTTTAATATATATATTATTTATTTTCTCAATAAGAATAGAAAAATAACCACAATAAATCCCTAATTAGAGCAATAGGTGGGGGTATAAAACAAGGGCGTGTTTCTATCTCGTCGTTAGGGTTTGGTTATTAGGGTTTTCGCTGTTCGGTCTCAGTTCAACAGTCGGCGCAGGCGAACATCCAGAAGACAAAGCGAAAATGGTACTTGTCGATCAATTTCACAACCTCTACTTTTCAATTTGTAATTGTTGCAGAAGCGATAACGATTCAGCTTCGCTTTCAGCGTTTGATTTGTATCTGATTTTTTCGTTGTTTGCAGCCGTCGCACAAGACTTTCAGAATCAAGAAGAAGTTGGCGAAGAAGATGAGGCAGAACAGGCCCATCCCCTACTGGATCCGCATGAGAACTGACAACACCATCAGGTACGAATTCCCTACCTTTCGCCTAATAACGGTTCCGTTGCGTTTCACTTTGCTCTTTTCACGCTAAAGGTTCCATTTTACCTTTCAGGTACAATGCTAAGCGCCGCCACTGGCGTCGCACCAAGCTTGGATTCTGAGGTGTTTGCTCTGCCTCGGTTTGGTTTATCCAATTAATTAGTTTTCTTTTTTCTTTACTTTTTTTTTTGTTGAGGCAAAAACATTGTTTTGGAGGTTTTATGTTTTTCATTTACTTAAAGACTATATTGTGTAAGGAAACTTATTGTAGTCATTACTAATGGTGCTCACCACCGCTTTCTAAAGTATCTTTGAATTCTTCGCAATTTTTCTTCTGGATTATTATAAGTTCGCTTTTAATTTTGTTTGACTGTTGATAATCTTTTCTGTGCGTTTTATCTTTATGTGTGCGATACTTGGTGATTTAGGCTACTTTGTTCTATGTTCAATGATAGGCAACAATGTTGTGCTTTTGTTTTTTCGTCATTATAGACATTGTGCATAACGCTCCTTAGTTGTGCCTCTCTTTTACCTTCTTTATGATACAGTTTGTGAATGTAAGATCACAATTACTCATGACGTGGTAGTGATGTTTATTTTTCTATTGCTTGAGTAGCGGTACAGTTTGATTTGTGATTGAGATGTTATCACAATTGAAGTTTGGAATTCATTGAATGGATTTGCAGACTTTATGTGAATGGCTTATGGGTTAGAAGAGATGCAAAGCTGGTTTATTGGAGCTGCCAAAATGCAAAATGTTAACTAGGCAAATTCGTTTGATTATTTTTTGGTTTAAATTTTTGACTGATAAATCTATAGAACAAATAGTCTGTGACTTCTCGACGCTTTCTACTTGCTTTATCATGGATTTTGGTTTAAAATTGGTTTGGTGTTTAAGCATGACTTTTCGGTCAAATGCTACCTGTATATTTCATCTTTCAGAGTACTTTCTGAACGCTAAGCATCCATTTTTGAAATCAGTGTTGGTCTGAAATTGTCATTACTGATTAAGAGTATGGGTTGTAATGTAACGTTTGTTTTGAAAACTTTAGAATTTAGGGAGCGTCATTTGATAAAGGAACACTTGGCTATATAATTTAGATTTTATTGAGTAAATATGTCCTATTTTAATATAATTTTGTTTTGATTTTATTGACTAAATATTGCATATCTTGACTTATCTAGTTGACTAAATACTATTTTGACCTTTATAGGTTGAAATTATATTACATTAAATATATGTTTTCTTACTTCACTTTATCTTACATAAATGTTTTAATATGTTATTGTTTGAATCCAAACACTGAGAATGCTTTTAATCATTTATTAATGACCAGCACATTTGCTTATTGACTAGGTCATGGTTTTGGTAAAAAAATAAGATTCATGTAAGAATCTTTTCGTGGGTTAAGCTGTTATTTTCATGTATTGTTTCTTGAACTTTGTTTTTGTACTTTGAGGAATGTTTTTTATCATATCGAGGAGTGCACAGGGATTATTGTATGATTGAGTTGGAAGTTAAGGATGGATGTTATTGATGGAAAACGCTAGTTCTAGGATTTTCTGTCTAAAGGGGACAATTTTCTGAATTGTTTTCATGGATTAATGCATCTGAGGTATTGACCCGACCTGGGTTGTAACATTGGTTTGTGCATACTATCCAATATGGCTTGTTTCTGTGTTATATTTGGCCCATGATATGTTGTGATGCATTATTGTTTTGATTTAAAGTGAATTTATTGAGATCTTGAATGGACTATGTGGCAAATGGAAGGGATCTAGAATTCTCTTTGGAAATACTGTTATGTAAAAAAATGGGAAGAGCACATATGGACAAAAGGAACATTTGCCTAAGTGGAGAGGTTTGATGGTTTGGGTCTGATGGCTATTAAGAGGACTATCTTTGAACATCTTTTAACAGTTAAACAGTTGCTCACTGCATTAGGAGAAAGGTACTTAGTGTCATTGTTGAGTCCCGATGTCTGAGGGAATAGTTCGCATACATGAGATTTGATAACATTATGGGCGTAAGGAATTCATTATGAAGATGGTTCACTAAATTGACCTTGATGATAAATTTATTGTTCATCATGCATAAGGTAGTATACCCGTTGTTTTAACACAAATTAAAACCACCCACAATACCATTGGTGAGAAACTTTATTGGCAGGTGTGCTTCTAAGAATGATAAACTTATTAAAGAAAGGAGTGACACGGTCCTGTTATCTGTCCATGATAAACCAACTTCTGGCAAGGGACGTGGGAAAATCAAGTAAGGGTCAACACCATAGTGTAAAAGGTCCCGATTCAACAAACTTTAAGAAAGTTATTTGGTGTTTCTAGTGTTAAGGAGAAATGGCATAAAAGAAATTGAAGATGATAACTAACTTTCATTTGTCTTGAGTCTAGCATCGTTGATATATTCTTGGTGGCTAGACAGTGGTTCGACAATCTATATTGACGTGCTGTTTCAAGGTTTAAAAAATGAGAAAAAACAAGCCAAGGTTATCTTGGAAGTATTTCTCAAGTAAGTTGAAGAATCAGCCTAGTTTTAACAATTGGTTTTTAGATATGCATTTTATGTAGCTTCTTTTAGAAGAAATCTGATTTCTATTTATTTAGACAAGCTTGGTATCAGTTTTACTTTTGGCGAAAGGAAAATAAATTTGATATTGAGCTTCAAAAGAAAAATATATAAAATGAATAAAAAAAATGTTGGGTTGGGAAAAAATGAGTGAAAAGAAAGAAAATTTTTTTTATTGCTAACAAACTTATTGTTTTTAATTTATAATAATAACAATAACGATGATAAAAAAACCATAATTAATTAAATTTGTAATCCAATATAAATATATTAAATTATTTATGTTATAGTTTATAATAATATGTAACGGTTTCTCCAATTTGGTGTATATAATTTTTTATTTATTTTATTCTTAATAATATTTTTAAGTTATACTGCAAAATTCACAACTAAGAATATTAATGCAAAAAATAAAAAAGGGTTAAATATGTTTTTAGTTCCTAAACTATTGGCCGTTTCTGGTTTTCGTCCCTCTTTCAAAGTAAGGTACAATTTGGTAAGACTAAAACTAAAATTCCGAGGACTAAAACGAACGTTTCGAAAAGAATGAGGACCAAATTGTACCTTACTTTGATAGAGGGACGAAAACCAGAAACGGCCAATAGTTTAGGGACTAAAAACATATTTAACCCTTTTTTATTTTTTGCATTAATATTCTTAGTTGTGAATTTTGCAGTATAACTTAAAAATATTATTAAGAACAAAATAAATAAAATAAATAAAAGATAACTGCTCATTTTAAATATAACTAAATTATAAATTTTTAAAATAATCAATTTTATACAATTAAGCTTTTCATTACTACAAAATTTTAATATAACATTCAATAAATAATGTATTTAATTATTTTGGTTCACTTAATAAATTAAATCATATAAAATAAAAAAATAAAATATACTTTTATATAGTTTACAAGTATTTATATATATAAAAAACATTATAATAATAAATAAATAAATAAATAAAAACCACTTCTGCTTGCAGTATCAGAAAACAACTTTTTTGCCTTTCTTATCTCAAGTGTTGAAATTCTCCGCATCTCACTTTCTCCATTTGTAAACTTTCTGCATATTTCATGCGTTTCAATGTGACCAGGATTTCATCTTTTCTCACCTTTCCCTCGTCTCTACTTCACTTTTGATAAAACCTTAGGAATCCAAGTGTGTGACAATCCACTAGAAATAAGAAAATAGATCAAGTGAAAATTCATTAATATATTATTTTATGATTTGTGACAAGTGTTAATTTGTTGAACATAGGTTTCATTTACGAAAGGAATCCAAGTGTGTGACAATTCACATTTTGAATAAAAATAAGAAAATAGATCAAGTGAAAATTCATTAATATATTATTTTACGGTTTTTGACGAGTGTTAATTTCTTGTTGTATAGTTGAACATAGGTTTCATTTACGGTATATCTTCTGATTAAACAAAAATACCGTAAATCTAGCACCCCTGGGTTGGCCCAAATACGTGGTGATGGAAGCGAATGCATGAGGTTTAGTAAAACCGTTGTAAAAAGAATATCAGTAAAACTAAAAAGTGTGAAAGTAAATGGTACTTTCAGGGTTCATTCTATAGACGGACTATGTACTTGCTGCCTTATTTGTTAACCCTAATGGAAATTTGGATCACAAATTATGTGCTTTAACAGTATTGGTCAGTCACTTGCTCCCTGGACCACCTTCTATGGACTCTTCATCATTTCAGAACTCCAATACATGATTGACTTAAGAGGTTGCTTGTGATATTTTCTCTTTATGTAATGGAATGGAAGACAACATATCCAAGTTTATACAAATTCAATACTCTACAGAGTCTATACACAATCCATCTCTACCCATAAGAAACTAAAACTAAAAATTTCTTCTTTACATCTGTTATGAACAATCTAATGCTCTTTTCCCCTATTTAAGGTAAACACCCTTCCCAAATTAATGTTCTTGTAGTTTGTCGTGGACTATCTGTAATTTGATGTATTTGGTAAAACTATATGTGTTGGAAGCATCCATTCTCTCTGTTATAGGTACTATCAAAGACGGGAATTCACAGCAAGAGAGGCATGCTGCCTCACTTGCGAAACTCTCAGTGTTCCTCCGAGCTCAATGGGAACAAGAGGGATAAGTGAGTGAAGAACATCTGTGATGAGAGGGCGATAGCTAGGCTCTGGTTGCACGCATAGCACAGCTACAGCAGCAACCTATAAAATACAAAACTCGTTAAAGAAAAATACATTTGTTTGGTGAAGGAAAGAACCTAGTACAAATGTTTGTGGGAAACGAGTTTTGAATTTTGAATTCCAGGATCACAAACCTGGTACAAGTGTTTATGATCCATTGTGTCCTTAATCACTGGATCCACAATGTTTGGAAGCTTGGCTCTGTCTGTGAGCTGTGGCATGGCCTGCAATCATAAATAGTTATGTACCTTACACTGCTTTCCATAGTTATAGGTACATGAGATGAAAAGTAGCCCATACCCATGTGACAATAGACTGGCATTGCGTCGGTGCCAGTTTTTCCACTGGCTTCCTTCCTAATAGAAGCTCCAATAGCACAACCCCAAAAGCATACACATCACTTTTATCACTCAATTTACCTGTAAAATTATTGAATTGCAGCATCCTCAATAATTAGTTCTACGGATGAATTTCACATTGGTACATGAACTTGCTTTGGGATGAATCTAAGACATTTCTCTATGATAATATTAAAATATTACTGGTATATTGACCCAATCATCCATGTCTACAGGAAAAATATCTACCTCAATTGAAATGAAATCCCTCTCAACAGTCAAAAACATATTAGAGACATAAAAAATAATCTCAAAGGTTATAGGTGTTCCCATTTTGCAGACAAGAATAAATTCCATTTCTAAAGCGAGAGACATACACTTCAAAATAAAGTGCTCTATAACCAATGATTAGAAACAAAAGCATGTGATTGTATTAACTTAAAAATTTGTTCATTGTGTATTCATTTTGTATGACATTGTCGATTTGGTCAATTTAAATAACGAGTAAATGTGACTTTTCAACAGGGCAGGTACATGACAACATGTCCAAGATAAGAACAAGATACACAGGTCATATGTTTCAAATCCACCCTAAAGTCGTGACGTCCTTAAAATCAAAGAGGACTAAGAGAAACAATTTCTTGGATCTGGTTTGCTAAAGGGTTACGATATAGTAAAATATCCAACTTGTCAAACCAATGCATATGGCGTATAATAATGATAACGGGTTTAGTTGGCATACCATCTAGAAGATACTCCGGTGCTACGTATCCTAAGGTACCCGATAGTTTAATGTTCTTCTTGCTTTGGGACCCATCAGTTATGGCAAGACCAAAATCAGACAGCTGAATCCACCACCAATAAGTTCGAGGATGCCAACACATAATATGAAACTTAGGTGAATACAACAAAGATGAAAACAATTGGAAACGGTAAAAGGAAGTAACTTTTATGGCAAATCTAATGATTTTCTTACCTTGGCATTGAAGTTTGCATCTAAGAGAATATTGGAAGATTTCATGTCTCTGTGGATCACTGCAGGGTAGCAGTGCTCATGCAGATATTCTAGTCCTCTGTCAGAATACCAGAAGAATGTCAATACAATTGTAATGAAGAAAAGAGAAAGATCAAAATCTCTTTTAAGGAACATTACCTTGCTGTGTCAAGAGCAATCTTCATCCTCATGTGCCATGTCAATGCCGAGCCATGAGTAGGTCCTTCAGCATTAGATTTTGGAAAAGAATCACATCATAAGAATTTGTAACGAGAATGGAATGTTGTTTGTTTACTGTTTCAGAAAAGTTTTCCTGCTTCTAAATTTTTTTTGTCTTTTGAACACATCTGAGACTGTTTGCTTCAGGAACACGATTGTGTTTTCTAATTATTGTCCTTTGAATCTCCAGAAGAAGAAATATAACATTTCCTGACCTTTTCTGATCTTTGGTTTCTAAAACAAATATATTTTATAAACGATTTTCAAAATTTAATCGATTTTGGATAAGAAAACCGGGTCCTCTCTGCTATGCATTTAAGCATGGAATACAGTATTTTACCATGTAAATGAGCTTCCAATGATCCATTTTGCATCAACTCATAAACAATAAACCTCGTGTCACCATCAGCGCTACAACCCAGTAAGGAGATTATATTCGGATGCTGAATTTTGCTTAACAATTTCACCTCATTCTGCAATTTCATCACACCACTCAAGACAAGATTGAAAGGACCAGAAACAAGAAGTTTAAAACAGAGAACCAGCAAATGAACAAGTAATATGTGATCATTACCTCGAATTCTCTTTCCGCATGTTGAGTCTCGCAGTGTAGTTTTTTTACTGCAACATCCAGATTATGATCCAACCGAGCCTTGTAAACACATCCAAAACCACCCTCGCCCAAGATGTTACTTTCCTCAAAATTATTGGTCGTTTTTTCTATTTGCTTATAATCAACTATCGGCACAGACTCCTTCATACCAACAATTTTGACGGAACTGAATCTGCTCAGAAACGGTGCAAGGGTGATCCCCCTCTCTGCATCTTGCCATTCAAAAGCACAACACAAATAGAGAAAAGAAAGTAATCTCAGACAATACCATAGGGGGCAATTCAGTTCTGATTTTTTCTTAAAAAAGGTATATGAGAAATGGAACATTACAAAACAAACAAGTACCTGGACCAGGAGTTTGAACCTTTTTGGTTTTGGATTTTGTTGGACACTTAGTGTGATAAATCCAGAAACATAAGAAACCGAAAATGAGTACAGCAAGTGAAATGGTGGCTACGACAATAGCTACTAGCATTTTCTTGTGCAGGTGATGCTGCCCCTCCCCTGCTTTAACAGTTGTGAGAATCCAAAAGTGAAAAGAATCATCAGTAAAACCAATTAGTTAACAAAGATTAAGAATTTCAATGATGGGAAAGAGATGAATGAGTGCCTGGAGAGAGATCAGGTGGAAGTTGAGGAGAGGAAGCAGGAGGGTCTGCAGCAGCAACGTAATGCAGAAGAAGAATAAACACAAAAAGAAGGTTCTTTTTCATTGTTTGATGTAAGTATGCATGTAGAAAGAGATATTTGGAGGCACAGGCATAAAGGGTGCCTTGTGTAATGAATTGTGAAACCTTTGAAAGTTAATGGTAATGGGTGTTCTGTTTTCTTCTTGATCTCCAAGGTTTCAACTGCTTTTTGGTTTTCCAAAAAGATAGCTCTTTTTTCTTTCAGCTTTTGAATCTTTTTTCATATCTCTCTTTGTCTCTCTCTTTTCTTCTTTCTTAACTCATTATTATGTGAGAATTTCTTTTTGAAGTGACCAAATATACTCCAATTCAACAAAAAATAATTCAATGTCGATTATATATAGGGTTTTTTTAATAACAAAATTCATTTTTTATACTTTTTTTATAACATTATATATATAAAGAAATTAATATAAGATTGATGAAATAGGTGTGGTTGTGTGTGAAATCATGGATTGAAGTGTGAATGTCATACTGTGTCCCTTTCTGTGCAGAAGAGAAAAGAAGGAACAGTGGGGAGAGGAAATTTAATGTTGAGGTGAAGCGGCAATCACACGACAAGCATGTGCATCTGTTCTTGTCAACTGCACTACTCTGCTGCAACCATGAATCAACGTTTTCTTCTTCTTCTTTTTCTCTTATTTTGTGTAAAATTTCTAAGCTTATGCAAAAGGAAAAGGAAAAGAGTAATAGGTTCATTCATGGGGTTGAGAGATGATGAAGACGGTTCGTTTCATCTTCTCAACATGACACATTCACACCGTTAGGTCCTTCTCTTCCTGTCTTTCTAACAATAACTGCATTTCTAAGCATTTTCTTTTTTATTTCTTCTCAAAAAAAAGGTACTATGCTTTCATAAATTCATTCCACTCTTTTACGGGAATAGATATTATTCAGGTTAAATATCTTTCAAATGTAAATTTGGACCTCTGATTAAAATCTATTCCAAACTTTTAAGGATATACATATTTTAATTTTTTTGTGTGTTAAATAGCATTTTAATATTTAAATTAAACATTTCAAATTGATATTCAAATTAAAATAATTAAAATATTTTAATACGTTAAAAAAATTTAACATAATAAAATAAGATAATTATATTTATTAAATTTAAAATTTAAATATGTCAAAATTGAATAAAGATACTTTCTAATTTTTTTATTATTAATTAACACAATGCTATTAATTTAATTTTAATTAAAGAATTTTATTGGCTAACCTTAATCATATGGTTCAAGTGTACCAGAAGCCTTGAATTAACTGTCCCTTTTATAGTATGTGAAAATTTTTCTAACGTTTTACGTAATATCTTGTAAGATGATTAATAATACTTTTCATTAAATTTATCGGTCACGTGTCGACATGTATCATATACCTGATAAATAATTACATTTCTTAATTAGCCTTTTTATCTTAAAAGTGTATATTAAAAAACAACTATCTCTTACATAAATTTTAATACACCACGAACAAATCAATTGTTAACTCTTAGTTGAAAAATATTTCAGATTTATAAAAAATTTCCACACCAACACTACATTTTCTTTTAAATCATTTACCTCTACGTCATCGTGTTTAGGGAAGTTTGACGACCATAATTTGTGACTTTATTTCTTTTAAATAGCTAAAAGAATAATTAGTAAAAAAAAATTAACAGCATTTATGAAATGTTTAGAAATTAAGTAGTTATGAGTTATTTTTATCAAAACTAGTTTTAAACCCACTTGAATTGATGTTTGTTTTGTACGTGTTTTTATGTTAATAAATATATATTTTAATAAAAATTTTTAGAGATCGAATAAAATCCATGTGAAGAAATATTCATAAGTTTATAAAGTTAATATATATATATATATATATATATATATATGTGTGTAAAAAGTAAATTTTATAAAAATACAAAAAGAATATAATATGTTAAAAAATATAGAGTAAACTTGACTATGCAATATATTATAAATATAAATAGTGTATGGGTATATTGGTCTAATTAATTATATTAGACTCATGTGATAAGTACATCAACAAAATAGTCTAATATCTAATGTTCGATTAATCTAATCAGTATATGCACAAACTCCTCTAATGTGTATTGTTACACTCATCCAATGTTTATAAACAAACTTATGTAATATGTATTGCAAAACACATTTAATTAGAAAATGAATATAATTGTCTAGTGTGTATTAATAGACTCATAATATTTGTATAAACAAACACGTCTAATGTATATTGTTAGACTCATTTAATTAGTGTATGGGCAAACACATCTAATTTGTGTTGCAAGATTTGTTTAATTAGCGTATGGATAGAATCACCTGATGCATATTCCTTAAACTCATCTAATTAATGCACGAAATGATTTGTTTTATGTTTTATGCACAAAAATATTTGTCTAATTAGTGCATGGATAGGGTCATCTACATAGTATTGCTAAAATCGTTTAATTAGTGTATAAACATTCCAATATTCATCTAACCAATGAATGGACATACTCGTCTAATTTATATTAATAGACTCATTTAATATTGTATGAAAAAACATGTCTAATGTACATTGTTAGACTCGTTTAATCGATATATGAATGAATTGTCTAATGTGTTTTGGTAGATTGGTTTAATCAATTCATCAATAACTCATCTAATCAAATATTCCTAAACTTATTTAATCAACGTGTGGAATGACTCGTCTAGTATATCTTGTTATATTCTTCTAATTAGTGTACAGTATCGTCTAATATATATTGTTAGACTCGTGTAATATTTTTTGCAATACTCATCTAATAAGTATATGAAAAGACTTGTTGGATGTGTATTTATAGATTCGTCTAATCAATACATTGACAAACTTTTATAATATGTATTATTAAACTTGTTTCGTGATTATATGAACATATATTATGTGTACTGCTAGTATATTGTCCACGACCTAAATCTCACATCATACGCCATTTATGGTTTGCATTTTCTAACTGTTTTCTATTTGTGAACTTTAAAAATGCTTTTATCGTTGTTTAGTTATCAACAAAAATAATGTACTTAATCTTTATTTAATCGTTAATGGCTAAACCAATATTTATCGAAATGTCATCTACTACCATTCCTTATATGTAATCAATTTATCATTCTTTCCTTCTTAATTAACACCCTTTTGGTGGTCTCAAAAGTTTTACATGTTTTATTATATCTCAGGAGCTTACATGGATTTTCGGGAATAAATACTTTTATACAGACTTTCACACACATATATTAGAAAATTATAACATAATGCTTATTTTTCTTAATTTATGGACTTTTTTCTTTATCCTAAACAAGGACATAATCAATTCAAGATTTAATATAATAATAGATTTATTGAATTAAGTTAATAATATAATTGATTGATATTTTATTAAAAATTTATCTTATTAAATACATAAACATAGGAATATCATTTATACTATAAAACAAAATATTTTGATTGTTAAAGTTCATAAAACCAATCACTAAGAATGTTATTAGCGTCATTAAAATATATTTGTGCTCGTTTCATAAAGTCTTCTTTATATGTAGTAAATTTCGAAAGTTTCAAATGTATCACTTATATTACATTGGATAATTTATTAATGATATAAAATGATATTGTATTTTTTTAATGAGATTTATTAGACTTTTTTTTTTTGTTAAAAAGTAACTAATAACAACAATAATTTACCCATGTTTTTTAATTTAAGACTAATAAAATAATTTAATTCTCATTCCTTTTTATGTTTAAGAAAACATTTCTTTAAATAAAATTTCTTTGTTCCAAATGAATATTTTATTTCATAATTTCTCAATTTACATTCTTAAATAAATATATATCAAGGGTTTTTCAATCACAAAGTTACATAATCAATAATCTCAAGAACATAAACACTAATTCAAAGTTTTTGCCTTAATGTTCTCAAAATAACATGTAACTAACTATAATGACACAATCATTCATGAATTTTGTTCCATTTGAACCAAAATTCCAAATAGCATCATTACATTTTCTAATACAATGAAAAACTCATGATCTTCAATACTATAATTTATGATATTTACAAGGCTATAAGGCTATGAAAAAATATATAATATGAATAATGTTATACTGAGACTATAGTGTAGAAAAAAAAATCAATCTTAGATATCTCATGACACAAATAATAATTATTTTCACAAACCACCTTAAAGTAACCACATCTCAAGTAGTTCTTAAACGCATTTTTGTTTATAAATGAAAACAAATAAAAAGTACCATATAATAAAGAAATATCACTTTCAAATTATTCATATAAAAAAAATATTGACATACCCCACGACAAAAATAATAACATGTTAATTATAAGTACGTGATAGACATGACAAACTATAAGAGAAACTTGGAAGTAAGTTATGTAAAAATATTAACCCGAGTATAAGTATTGTTTCATTTTATTTATGAAACAAATATTCTAAAAATCTATTAATTAATTATCCTTAAAAAAGAGAGTAACCTTTTTATCTCTAGTGTTTCAGATTAAATCGTTCATAAATCATTAATGATACATTACTACAGTTTATGTGTTAAGTTTTAAAAGCTTTTAGGTAGTTAGTGTTATTCAATCTCGTGTAATTTCAACGTTTTTGGCTGTTAAAGTCAAACACTTGTTTCTAAATGAAAGAGTAATGATATAATAATATAGTATTGGTACCTTAATATGAAGAACAAAATCGTTCCTTTATTTCATACAATTCATAATATATTAGTAACTTTAACGAGAGTCCACTTGTAAAAAGTCAATTTTGGAGAATTCTTGTTCTTCTTGAATATATTAGAAAAAGAAACAGTGGAAGACGGTGGAGAGAATAATTCTCATTATAATAATAATAATAATAATAATAATAATAATAATAATAATAATAATAATAATAATAATAATAATAATAATAATAATAATAATAATTCATACTCTGGAATTAACATTTGCTTTTGGGTGCAGTTTTCTTATTTATAAATGTCTTTTAAGAATATAAATTATAGAAGAAAGAAAAATAGTGTACTGAAAAAAGCAGAACTGAAAACGTGGCTAGAGTTGTAGGTTAGTGGAAACAGATGGGAATGATTTGAATTGGAATATCGATACAAAAATAAGACTCTTCACATGTTAAAATTGTTAGGTAAATGATGGTTTTGAAATTTGCTAACTAACCACCTAATCCAATTATTTAGTCTCTCTTTCTTTACACGGGCTGACCAAGGAAATATTAGAAATAGTAGTAAATAAAACCATGAATAATAAATAATGAGACTTTTATGTTCATTTAATTAAGG